CTCTCGTTCTATACACAAACTACTCTCCCGTTCACTCTATCTCATTTTCTATAGATGTATCTCATTATATCTTTTCCTCTTTCTTTTTCTGTTTATGTTTTACTCTATCCTCTCGGCATCTATCATTTCATTATTTTTTCAGTCTCTCTCATAGTCTCACTCTCATATCTCTCTCTCTCTCTCTCTCTCTCTCTCTCTCTCTCTCTCTCTCTCTCTCTCTNTTTCACTATCTCTCTCTTGCTCTTTCTTATTCTCTTACTCTCTCTCTAACATTATCCATCTTTCTATCTATATATTTAAATCTCTATCACTATATTTCCATCCCATTCACCCTCATGCTTCCGATTGTATTTTGAAATTTAGGTCTCAAATAGTTTTTAAACTTATAACAATGATTGTCACAAATTGTTCACTAAACATTTCAGTGGGGAAAAAATGTTATATTACATTTTCCAAGCGTTATTAAATTATATTTTTAAATTTGTTTATTCTTTTTTCACTATCAAGATTTTTTAATTAAAACGATACTCATTGATTTTATCCATCTATAAATCTATCCATCTCTCTCTCTCTCTCTCTCTCTCTCTCTCTCTCTCTCTCTCTCTCTCTCTCTCGCTCTCTCTCTAAAATTGTTAAATAAAACCTTATTAATTCATTCAATTTATTTATCTATATATTTTTCATCTCTTTCTCTTTCTCTCGTTTTCTCTCACCTCTCACTCTGATTCTCATTCGCACTCTCACTCTAGGTTGTAAGACCTGTATTTCTATCTATAGTTCTTTTCTTTTTTTTCTTTTTGATAAGACACGAAGATTCGCAGTACAAGAAAACTTGAACCGTGTACTTCATTCGGAAGCGGTAAACAGTCGGTTTGACATCCCCGTGTCATTCTGGTTTTGAATAATAAGAAAATAAAGAGCATTGTCCTTCTGGGACAAGCCGTTTTTGACGTTGACGACCCTTCACCGTCCAATCAAAGATGCAAATCCGACGATTCTGATGGGGTCAAGGCAGAGGTGGAGAAAAGGAAGGGTCCTCCCTCGTACCCCGGCAGTCACACGGAAGTCGTCGTTTGAATATGTAAATCACTTCCCTTCGCCACCATCTCTACCTTTCGCAAATTAAACCGAATTCAATTTCAAATTAGTGTCAGTTACATCCCGAATCTTCCTTCTCCGGTTTCTCCGGTTGTATGTCTTATTCCCAAATGGGGTTGGGGTAAGTTGACGCTCGGTGGAAAAAACGCGCCGGTTAGCTTCTCGACTTTATTGTCATGGAAAACAGATGACAATTATACCTGGATACATTTATCAACAAGGGTTACGATGATCATTCTTTTTATCTGACTTTTTAAAAGTAAACAATTTTATATGTGTATTATCTCACTATTCTAGCGGTCCAAAAAAGCAGTTTGATTTTTATTTAAAGTAATGTTTAATGTAAAATCCGTCATATTTTTAAAAAATACTAATTATATTCAAATTCTTTAAATTCAATTTAAACGTACAGCTAATTTCAAAAGTACAAAATAAATACATCGGCTTACTTAAGATATTATTTGTTTAAATTGATAGTACAAATATGACAAATAAAAAATGTAAACTATACAAACGGAAAAAGCTTATGTCAACAGTTTGTGAATCATGTTTCGTACATGTACAAAGCGTCAAACATTAATTTTTTTTTCATCATCGCGTCGCAATCACATTCAGCATAGAAAATTTTGGCGTGGACGTTTTACAACAAAGGGCAACATAAACAATTCTGGTGATATGGACAGTTTAACCAATTGTTATGAATCGATACGCTGTTTTGCCAAAAATGTATCCGTGAGCATGCTTTTAAACTGCTTTTCTTAACAAACAAGCCCTGACTGAGAAGCAGCGTGTGGGCAAAACTACTTGATTTCAGACACTGCGATTGCGTTTTGGCCCACTCTTACCAAATAATTTTAGGTCAATGAAAGAAATCTGTATACAAACAAGTAATGCTGTGTTTTAAGGGCATGAGAATCGTTCGTAACAAAAAACTTAAAATCATATCAAAAATTAATTATTTTTCGTACAAGCAAGAGAAATTTTTTATGTTCACTTGCGGGTAGTGAATTGTTTAAACTAATTTTTCGTAAGTTGTAGAATGTGGACTGATTGAAAGCGATTTTTTTCGGATTGAGAAATAGCTGCGTAAAACCTTCTCAATCTTGTATATTAATTCCCTAATTTCGTCGTCCGCTTGACCAATTAATATATTACAATTAATTAAGGTTTTTAGTTGAGATAAAAATGGCAAAAAGGAGGGAAAATTCAAAAGGTGGGGTTGAGATGGGAAGTTGGTGTCCGAGGGGATCGAGGTCACGATTGCTCAAGTGGTAGAGCAGCGGCATATCTAGCCGAAGATCGTGGGTTCGAATCCCGCTCGTGCCATTGACTTTTTTATCTCAACTAAAAACCTTAATTAATTCTTGTATATTAATTTATCAGTACGTGTTACTGTCCTGTAACTTCTCTTTCATAAAAGCCAGTTCACTTATCATCTCGCCTGAATTTAGTCGTGTTTCCAATGTGATGAATCTATAGATTAGTCCCTTCCTGTCATTTTTGTCTGCTTCGTTTTCATTTTTTGACATTTTCATTGGTGTTTCTTGGGCTCGGGACACAGGAATGATCAAAACAAAGCCAAAAAACGACCTGTTAAAATAAAACTAGGTTAATAAAGTTAGTTCTGTAATACTGCTTTTTGACATCTTGTTAGGTTTGTGGCTCACAAGACATCTGAATACCAAAAGATCATATATTAATTATTAATTAGGCCAGACACTACTCTTGACCAAATTTTCAGGCCTTAATCAATATTTGTTCGCTAAGTTAAATACTAAATATTACAGTAATAAAGAAAAATGTTTTAAGTTTACAATACAAAAGTGTTGTCGCCAACATGTTTTCTTTATTACTAATAGTTTCATTTAATTAAGATGGTGGCTTGAAATCAGACATAAACCTCTTCCTCATTTTTTGTTTAATGTTTCGGTCCTGTGACTGTTTAATTATGATAATAAATTCATAACCAGATTAAACACTTAACATCTGGCTATGAATTTAAATTGGACGAACTTCACGTGTAATTAATATTAATTGTAATGTAATTAATAAAAATTAATATCAATATTCGTACAATTGTTTCTTGAGGTTCCCAAGGTGATGGATTTATAGAATGCAAAAGCTCCACTTTTGCCTGTCTACCTTCTCTGTATAGGTCAGACTATTTTGACTTTTGGACGTCTTCAGTCGTGGGTCACAATGATCCCTAAAAGACTAAAATGATCAAATGATATGAAACTATATTGATTATTAAGTTAGACCAGACACTATTCTTGAGTAAATTGTCCACTTTGTAATAAAGAAATATGGATCTGTAAATAAACCGTTTAAGTTGGACTTATGAGAGGTCAGGAGAGACCGTGCTTCTTACAGATTGAAGCAAACTACTAACCACTTGAAATAACAGATAAAAAGTTGAATATACAAGCGCATAGTCTCCAAAATTTCCGTTTGATTACACATATCTACTTGAGATGACAATATGAAATCAGCCATAGAACCTCAACTTTATATATTAATTTATCACTAATGTTTCGGTCCTGTAATTGTGAAATTAAAGCCAGATTAAACACTTAACTCCAGGCCTGAATTTAGTTTAGTCAGACTTGACGTCTGATCAATTATAAATTATGAGATTGTTTTCGAAGTTTCCGAAGTGATGAATTTATAGATTAGTCCCTTCCTGTCTTTTTTATCTATCTTCTCTGTTTTGGTTTTTGGACATTTTCATTGATGTTTCTTGGACTCGGGACACCTGAATGATCAAAACAAAGAGAAAAATGACCTGTTAAAATAAAACTACTTTAATAAAGTTAGTTCAGCAATACTGCTCTTCCACATCTCCGTGGTAGGTTTGTGGCTCACGAGATATCAAAAACATCAAAAGGTCGGGTAAGATGAAAGTAATAAAGAAAGTCGTGGGTTCGACTCCCAGTCGTGACACTAAATTTTTCATTTCAACCGAAATCTTACCTAAAAAGATTAAATAATTGAAACAAGTAACTTGGTCAATAGACCACTAAATATACTGGTTTTTGTAATAAACTAATATGGATCCGTAAAGCAACTGTTTAAGTTTAAGTTGAACTTATGAGAGGTCCGAAGTGCCTGTGATTACTATAGATGGAAGCAACCTACTTACCATTTGTTATAACAAACAAAAAGTTGAATACAAACGCATAGTCTCCAACATTTTCGCTTTAATACTCATAAAATCTACTTGAGATATCTACAAGAAATCGGCCATAAAACCTTGATTGTAAAATTAAAGCCAGATTAAACACTTAACTTCTGGCTTGAATTTAGTTTAGACCAACTTGATGTCTCATCAATTATAAATTATAAGATTGTTTTTGAAGTTTCCGAGGTGATGAATATAGATTAGTCCCTTCCTGTCATTTTTACCTATCTTCTCTGTTCTGGTTTTTGGATATCTTCAGCGGTGGGTCATGGGACATCCAATTGATCGAGAAAAAAAAAAATCAATCCGATAAAGTAAAACTACATTAACGAAATTAAACAGGACATTGTTGTTAAGTTAATTTTAAGACTTCAACGCATATTAATTTGTTCGTCAAGTTAAGTAATAAATAGTAAATTAATGATGAAATGTGGAAATTAAAGAAAAATTAAGTATATAATTTTTAATTTAATTAATTATACTTTTTATCTAAAGTTTTAGTTAAGATGTAAAAGTTAGTGTCACGAGCGGTATTCGAACCCACGACGTTCCGACCAACCAAGACTGACTGGATAAAAAGTGTAATTAATTGATATAATTAAATAGGTCAATTATGACCACTAAAAAATATAATGTTTAAGTTTATAATTGAAAAATAATGACGTAAAAAAATGTTAGGGACTTGTCCGAAGATCGGCTGATGCGCCCGCCCTGGTGTCAGGTGGAAGGAAGGAAGAAGAACCGTGAAGGGCTAATCGGGAGATCATTACCACCCGGGCAGTCGACAGGGGGTGACCCGTGGAGGGGGTTGCTCCGCCTCCGATCCCAGCAAAACCACGCCTTTTCACCCCCAGGACAACCCCCACCAATGCTCAGCCCTGTCGGCTCATCCGCTCATCTCGAGCACACTCCCATCCGAGTCTCCCTGGAGTTAAGTGCTCGTCCGAATTTCTTATCTCAAGTTATTGATATCAAAGTGAATTCTGTGCGATATTGGATTACAGCATCGATAACATGAGAGGTATTTTTTTTTCTATATCGCTGAGTTGGCGTTTGCCGGAGGAACGTGGATGCGGTGATAGGTGATTGATAAGGTCGGTGATCCTCTCCGAGGGTCGTCACACTCTATCGCTCAGGATATCCTCTGGTCCTTCGAATTGATAATTCGCGAGTTTTCCCACGGGTCTCGAACCCCTTATCGACCATCCCATCCTCCCCCGATCCCTTTCGTGACATCCAGGTTTCCACCGCGACAAAACAGGCACGATAACCATCGAACTCCGAAAATGTGCAACCGCGTATCCTCTGAATCGGTCGAACGGGCGAGTAATGTTATGAATCTTTGTCCAGGGAGTTCTGAGGAAGGGGAGGCGACCCGACTCCCGACGGAATTGGAGCTGAGAGGCACGGCAGGAGTCTGGGCCAGGGAAGGAATCCAGCCGGGCACCAAGTACGGCCCGTTCACCGGCAATTGGGTCCCGAAGCCGCTCGACCCCAGATTCGCTTGGGAGGTAAGATCAAAAGCTTTTAACCCCCGATTGAGCCGAGATTTAACCGCCGGCCTGATCGTCACGCACACCCTTAATCGTCGCAATAAAGAAAGACGATTTCAGCAGTTCTGCGAACGTGCCCGGTCGCCGTTTGCCCGGATCGGTTTTTTCCTTTGATGCTTTCTCTTATCATCAAAGTTATTTCTGTTAACGTACGTAAGGGGGTGGATATGAAAGACACAAACTACCTTTTGTGCCGGGCATTTTGACATAAATGGGCATTAAACACAATACTCTAAACACTAAAAACTCTCAAATCACTCCTTTGATAAAGATATAAAAGTCTTTTGTGACTTTTCTATATTTTGCTCAATAATCTTAAAATTACTTTAAAAAAACCATTCCATGAAAAATTATATATAATTAAATGACAATCTTATTTATTTTAAACAAAAAAATAAAGAACCCCAGCACAAAGTTTACACACAATAATTTGAACAATAAAAACCTACTACTACAATCAGTTGATAGATTTAAAAGACTTTCGTCTATTTTATATTTTTCCTCAAAAACCATAAGATTTCATACAAAATATCATTCCAAAAATAATAAGTGTCACTAAATGAAAATCATATTTTCATACCATAACTACAAAAGACTTTTGGTTACAATTCTTATCATAACAGTTTTGAGAAAATCATAGTGTAAAGACACCCTCCTCTAAAGCTTTTACATTATACACAATAATATGAACAACGAAACCTCTCAAACAATATTTATTTGTGAGGATGTTTTAATATGATGATATTTTTCAGTCAGTATAAGATTAATTGACTATAATAAGACAAGTAGATATCGTTTTCTCAAATAATATCATGAGATTTCATACAAAAAATCTTTCCAAGAACAACAAATGTCACTAAACGAAAATCATATTTTGATACCTACACTCAAAAGAATTTTAGCGTTTGTAAAACTTGTAGAAATCTCTTATCATAACAGCTTTTAAAATTCTAGACCCCCATCATAAAAACTTCACATTACACGCAGTAATACGAACAATGAAACCTCTCAAACAATATTTATTTTTTATGATGATGATATTTTTCAGTCAGTGTAAGATTAGTTGACTTTAATAAGACTTTTGTAGATTTATTTTTCACAAATCGTTAGATTTCATACAAAAAATCTTTCCAAGAACAATAAATGTCACTAAACGAAAATCATATTTTGATACCTATACTCGAAAGTATTTTAGGGTTTATAAATTCATAGAAATTTTTTTATCATACTAGCTTTTAAAAATCAAGATCCCATCACAAAACTTTACATTTCACTCAATAATATGAACTAAGAAACCTCTAACACAATATTTAATTATATTAATGATCATATTTTTCAGTCAGTATAAAATTAGTTGATAACGATTATATGATGAACTCTTTTGTCGCATTTCTAGTCAGTTGTGTTCTATAATATCTTGACAAATAACAATTTCGTACAATAAAAATGGATATTTTAAATTAAAAATAATAATTATTCGGAAATCGTGAGATGCGATCTGGTGTGATGTAGGTTTCAGAAAAACATTTTCTTTATCGTGCCAATGTTTCGATCTTTATTGGGATCATCTTCAGAGCCTGGGATTTACAAACATTGTTTACATTTAACAAATACATTTAGGATGTAGAAAAGTGAATTTATACAATGCAAAATATATTTTTTATATTCAATCAAAGTATTGCATTGTATAAATTCACTTTTCCACATCGTAAATGAATTCGTTAAATGTAAACAATGTTTGTAAATCCCAGGCCCTGAAGATGATCTCAATAAAGATCGAAACATTGGCACGATAAAGAAAATGTTTTTCTGAAACCTACATCACACCAGGCCACATCTCACGATTTCTGAATAATTGTCGATTAACGGTCACTAATCACCACACATTAAAAATAATAATAATATTCCAAGAAAAATTATTTGGCATATTCAAAAAATTATTTTTTAATACCATATTCCCGTCAATGTATAAAAAACACTATTTTACTTTATTATCACTGTTCGTGTTCATAAAAAATTCTTATCTTAGTTTTTAATAACTAAACGATTTAAACTTTGAAACTGTTTAAACTCCTGAACATAACCTATCTTATTCGTAATGTTTAATTTGTATGTTTTCGTAGTGCACCCGCTTAGTTAGCTAACAAAAGATGGATCATATGTTAGGGGTAGATTTTTTGCTATTGTAGTAAGTGTCGTCACAACTAACCCTCCACAAATTGTAGTCATACAGGCTATTAACATTTATTAATTAACATTTTTCAGACCTGATATTATTGAAAATCATTTTTTAGCCTAATTATTTAGAATAAATTAGTTTTTTGCATGTTGATAACTAAAGATAAACGTTGTGCCTATCTCCAGAGATTAATGTGTCGAAATGAATGCCATTTATAAAGAATTACATAGTTTTTACATTAAGAACAAAGTACTTCCTTTAAAATATTTTTGGTATTTTCATGCAAGGACATATATTTTTTTATCTTCAATTTGGAATACGCTAATCCAGCAGTTCTCCGAATAGGCCTCACTCATATCATTCGGCGAGATATCGAGTTTTGTTAACAGTGGCGGATTTGTGCTTTAGATGCTACGTATGAACTTGGTCCAGTTTATTTGACACTTTTTTTTCTTAAACAAGTTTGTCATTTTCTTTTTTCATTGGATGACACACTACTGAAGTATATATTATGAAGCAAATTTAAGTTAAATTTAACTGTATAATTTTACCACAGTAAGAACCATAGAATTTTAAGCTATCATCCGAAATCGGCGAATTGTTTTTTTTTTAATCCAAAAACGTCGAACCATTTGAAATTTGAACACTGCTTAAAATTGGAAATGGTTTCTGCTGTAACAGCACTCATTCGTGCGTGCCCAGGCCGGGTTTTTTCTCTCTTCAGATATATACATTCTTATCTCGGAGAGATTAATGAAATATTCAATTCAAAAAAAAGGAGAGCGATTTAGCATATTTTAAAGCTTTGTAAGGATGGAATACATGTTTTAAACGCGTATCAATGATCATAAACAAACCGTCCGAGTTAAAAAAATAACTTTTCTTGAATTGTAAATTTTTATCAAAAATTTAAAATATATTATTTCAAAATATGATTCAAACTATTTTTAACTATAGCTTTTTAAATTTTTTTAAAAATTAATCTACTGCTCATTAACACACTTTTGAAAAATTTCACTAAGAAATGACAACTTTGACAAGATTATGGTGTTCAAAGTTTTCAGAATAATGTCAAAGTTGTTAAAGCGTTTATGTATTTAATTACAATGGGCAAGACATTCGTCATTGATAGATGGTCCCGACTTCATGCAAATTTTTATTTTCTTTCCACACCAGCCTAAGTTATTTTATGACAAAACAACTAAATTTTATTGACTCTTTGAAACAGCTGGGTTCTTGGAGTTATACAATTTAAAAATCCATTTTAGGATGGAGTCGTGGAGACATCACAGACATCTATATATTCCGCTTTCTGACCCTGATTTAAAAATACTCCCGTTGAAGAAACAATGAGCCAACTACAGTCTAATATTTTACATGGAAACAGTTTCATTTTTTACGAAAAAGAATTACTTACTAGAGTTTTACACTAATAACGCGACTGATATTTATTTCATAGTACAGTGATTATATTGTTGTGTAGGCAAAACAACGCCTCAAAATTCTGCAATAAAATTGCACACGAACGCAGATAAAGCAATTTTCTAAATGGAAAGGAAAGTTGGGAAAATATTCACAACTGTATGTTGTTTGACATCTCAATCCACAAATATATCAATTAGTAAAAAAATCTCTACCTTTAAATTTTCCCACCTGTCACGATCAAAGTAAATAATGAAATACATTATAGTCTAGGTTTTCCAAGAATATACAATACAACTCCATAATCAAACCGGTGAGGGTTTAGAAAAAGTCTTTATGTCTCTTTTGGAGGGGTTAAAACTGTACGATAATATATTACCAATAACTCAAATGGATAATGATAATTCGTTATGCTCAATTAATCAATATTAAGTAATTATTTAAGTAATACAAAATTAGCTCACATATTCAGTATTAGAAATCTTCCCAAACGATAAAAAATTATGTTTATTACTAATTATTCAGAAATAGTGAGATGCGGTCTGGTGTGATGTAGGTTTCAGAAAAACATTTTCTTTATCGTGCCAACGTTTCGATCTTTATTGAGATCAGCTTCAGGGCCTGAGATTTAACAAATACATTTAGGATGTGGAAAAGTGAATTTATACAATGCAAAATAAATTTTTTATATTCAATCAAAGTATTTCTATGTTAATTACAATTCAATTTGTGATTTTTAAAAATATATTGCATGGAGTTTAAAATGTAATGTAAGTAGGATTGAACTCTGTTTTTTCTTGAGGTTCTAAATTAGCTTCTATTAATAAAAATGATAAATCGTTAATTTGCCAGTATTTAATGGGCACTTAATATTCCTAAACTTTTTAAAATTTAAATAACCTTTTACAAAACATTAATCCAGTACTAATTAATTTGATTTTTTTTTATCTGCCATAATCTGTAGGGCCAAAAAAAGTGAAGGCATTTAGACGAAATATTCGAAAAGGACAAAAATTCTGGTTAATCGCTTTACAGATATCAAGACTCTATCTCACAATTTGAGAAAGAAAAGATGAAATAAATTAATTATGCTGTGAAAATGAGAAATTATGTTTCAAGAGCAAAATCCATAATTTAATTTTAACCATATTTGTTACAAGTTTTTCATTTAGAAATGTATATGAAATTTTCAAGAAAATTAGATTTAAGTATCAATCGTAAAGGAAAACTAATAAATAGTATAGGAAAAAACAAACGTAATTACTATATAGCGTGCAATTTCAATTTATTACTGATAAATAATATAAAAAATATATATGTTTAAAAATAAATAAAAGCAACTGTTACGTAATAAAAA